CATGAGGTCCTGCTTTGTCTTGTAATGTAACACAGATAGGGGGTCTGCAGGGCAGAGGACCCATTGTTCCATGTCCCGCCTGGAAAATCACATGACAACACACACACACCTGGTTTCGATCGCATTTCAGCACAAACTGTGGGACCTATGTTTGGGGCGGACCTAGCCCAAGAGTATAAATGTAATGTAAAAACATGACTCGGGGCTCAGAAGTCAGATCTCCTGCGAGAGCTCTGGCTCTCTGAATCCAGTGCTGTAAGGCCTACCTGTGATCAGACTTTCAGTAAACTTTCTGTTGATTTTAAACAGTCCTCTCCTGTCATCACTTCTCGTGCTTCCAACAAAAGAATTGGGTTAATTTCTAACAAAAAGGTTAGAATCTAACAGATGTATGGACTAAGTGTAACCTTGAATGAGGGACTAAGAGTTTGTATGATTCTATTGTGTCACAAGCCAACCTCTGTGACAGCTCAGAGTGAGAGTTTGTTTCAGACTGGGAGGACTGGTACATTCCAATTGTGAAGTTCCAGCAAACTTCTTCTCAGGTCCAGATGATGGAAAGAATATTCAGTCACACAAATACCAAAGTGCACTTAATTACCTTTTATTCACAGATGCGCATCTGGAGATCATACAGCAAGCAGCAGCAAAGATGATCCCAAGTTGCATCTCTAACACCGTGTATTTTATACTATTTCTTCCCGCCTCCTTACACATTCCTTTACATAAAGCTGGAAAGTACCAAACTTTTCCAAAGATACTTTTGCAGGATGCAGGTGGCAATTGTCAATACTTTCCCAAAGATATTTTCCCCAAACATACTCCCTAATTCTAAAGTAGTACATCCTGTTATTTAAGAAGCACGCACACACATGATATAGTGAACATCCTGTTATAATGAAGAAACTTAAATTTATCCTTACAAGTTCATTAAGTATAAAACAGTGGAGCTGTTCCAGACATCTTTATATCCCACTGTATTCAATTCTCCTGCTTCCTCCTGCGACTCCCTTCATGGGAAGCGGTATTTATCCAAAAATACATGTGAATGATAGAGTAAACACAGACATTGCAACTGATTAAACATAGTTGAAGGTTACATTCTTATTCAGTTCCGTTACATGAATTAGTGCCCATGCTTCAAACCCAGTGTAAGTTATTTACCATATAAGTGTATAAAGATATAAGTGCTTTTTTGCTACAATACATATTCTTATATGTGCACAGTGAACAATCATTAATATGAGTTGCAATGTCTCACACACTTAATATCCCACACTAGGGAATCATTAAAAACAATAAATTAGACAATGGAGCATCAGAAAAGAGATTTATAATAATGATGCATAGTTATTTTCAATGGATAGGACAGATTAAGCCAGCATGAGTTACAATTCTTTCTGTCTGTAGGCTATCGCACTGCCAGTGTCATCATAGCTCTGACAAATGGAGAGCTCCACGAAGATCTTTTCTACTATGTAGAGATAGAGGTGAGTGAGTTAAAGAAATGGGTCACACAAATTATAACCAGGTGAAACGTGACTGCCGATGTGATGGACCAGATCAAACCTTGCCACCCCATATATCATCTGTTTGATGTGTTAATCGGAAAAAATGAGATCAAAGCAGCTGTCAGATTTATACGTCTGAGCCCAGTAGTTCTCTTTGCATCTGCACTGGAATCTAGTGACTTACTTGCTCCTTAGATTACCCAGGCACTACAGGTGAATGTGTGCAAAAGCCTGAGGATTTGATCAACTTTGAATGCCTTCATACACGCATTGACAGCAGGGATAATATGGGGCTGATGTTTTCAGTGACTTGAAATGTTGTCGCATGATGTCAGAATAACATTTTTCACCAGGGACATGGTGTTGCCCAACATCTTTTAAAAACTTTTTAGAGGCCAGATAAACACAGGCCTATTTTGACCAAGTTTTGGATGATATTGTGCATTTGTAGAGGCATAATTGAACCCAGGTGTTGAGCTGCTTCTTGTTTTTAATGTGAATTTGTGTCCATACCTGACAGACCAACCGCTCCTGAAATCTGGGTGCCTCAGGTTTACTGTGTGGGGGTGAAGGACTTCAATGAGACACAGGTGTGTTGTTGTTGTTGTTTGTACCCTACTTTCTCATGACATCTTGACTACAGGGGGTGAAAGAGACAGCAAACTGTCAATTTATACCTTTTAAAATCAAAACTATATTTTTAAAGTGCTGTTATTAATTAGCTATAAAATGCTTCATATTACATAAAGGCACAGTTTAACCCAAATTAAACATTGTCCTTTTCTATAAGCTGAAATGATTTAAACAACCATATGTTGGCCTTCAGGGTGCCGACTCCAGCTGAAGTAAATGCTTTGTATATGGTAATTGGTTTGGTTGTTTTGTGTTACATGTTGATTTTTTTTCTCTCTGTTTTATTACATGCTTGGAATTAATTAAAAAAAAAAAGTACAGTATTCTAGTGAGCGAAGCGGTACAACAAGGACATCGAATGTTTTTCAAATGTGTCTTACTTTATGCAGCATTATCCATGTGTTTGCCTAATCATTGAATGATTGCAGTATGTGTTGAGAAGGTTATTTTCCTTCTTTGTGTGCTGTGAAATAGTGTGTTGGAAGTTAAGTAATTGTGTTCATATGAACTGTGCTAATTTAATAAGGTCATTCAAGCTTCACTAATTCTGTGTCTTGTTGGGTGACTGGAGGGAAGTTTCAACCTGGGCAACTACACAATGATTGATTAAAAACTTGTATCAATAAGTGTGCAGTTGTAAACTGTAATTGTAATAACTTGTTTTTTTCTTCTCTAGCTGGCAGAGATCGCTGATAGTAAGGATCACGTCTTCCCAGTGACGGATGGATTTGAGGCCTTGCAGGGTGTCATTGATTCAGTAAGTATTTCAGTTCTGCCTATAAACAAGTTCAAATAGCAGCAACAAATAGGACTGATACATCGCTGAAACATCCACAGGAAATGTTCTTGCTTTAATCAGTGTAATCTCTACTATCACTTCAGCTTTCATATGTCAGCACATTGAGCAAATAGCACACAGGAAATGGCAAAATGGGTTTAAAGCACATTAAGTTATTTCATGCATGGATCTTAGCCAGGTACAGAATTCCAGGAAAACCTGCTGTGCTTGTGACTTTCTTGCTTTGATCAGTGTGGCCAAACATGATCAGAGTGCATGCTGTCCAGTATTTCTCAGACCCACCTCAGCACTGTTGACTTAAATTTGTTTTATCCACTTGCCTGAAAACTTAAAAACAGTTTGTTTGTCACTGGGACCTGAGGTTTGTCTAGCAGAGGTGAAGGTCTGGCATCTGACTGTCATCTGGAGCAGATTAACAGCTAACTGACAGCTGCTGTTTCTTAGCCATGTGAATGGGTCAGGAAATTAGGCTTGTTTGGCTTCAGGGTTGTAACTGGCTATGTTCTTGGAGCAAAGTGATTAGACACCTTGGCAGAACACAAATGAGAATAAATGGAAACCTGAAGTTCAAAGACCCCAGTGGCAAAAAAGTTAATTAATAGACATATTAAAACTATGGCTGAATAGTCATTCAATTTAAAATTTGAGTGCCACAGTCCAAACGAAACAGACACTGGACCAAATAACTGACTAAAATAGTATCCTTAAGATGTAATGAAGCTGTAAACAGAGACTGTGCAGAAGTCTCCTTGTGTGTCAAGCTGCACCATCTTGTTGCGTTTATGAACTCTGTGATGATCTTCTCCTCAGATCCTAAAGAGGTCCTGTATTGAGATTCTGGCAGCAGAGCCCTCTAGTGTCTGTGCTGGAGGTAAGACAAGGCAGACTGTCCTCCCTTCCATTTTCTCAGGATGGTCAAACATGACCATTTTTCTTAGTTTAAAAAAGTGTCAGCAGCAAGGTGTGTGTGGTAATGGTTCCAGAGGAACATCAGCATTATTCCACATGTCGACTATTCAAAGTCTTCCTGACAACAAAATCTCTCTGTATTTAAAGGCATATCAAGTCAGTATCCACAGTAAGGAGGCATTAGTGGTTTCTGAGAGTGTTCCATATTAGCATGATGAGGAGTTTGGATGTTACTTTGTACCAAAAGAATAAAAAACAGCCCTATCCTAAAGTTATTTTCTGTTGCTGAGATGATGTTTCTGCTTTTATTCTCCTCATACAGAGTCCTTCCAGGTAGTGGTGAGAGGCAACGTTTCCCCCATGCCCAAAATGTTGATGAAGTCCTGCGCAGCTTCAGAATCAACAACGCCCTCACGAAAAGTGAGTGAAACATGACTGAACAATAGTGAAGACAACACGGTCTCTGTCGTGGCTAGAATGTGATACCAACTAAATTAATTCAGACAAATCATCCCAATTTAAGTAATCATTAATAATATTACAATTATTCTGAACAGAGTAGTAGTTGAATAGGTAATCTGGTAGCTAGGAAACAGAGAACAGAATCACTCTTCTTGCAATGGAATAGATAAAGTATTAAATAAGAAGATTGTCAGAGCACCAGTCAATCATTGTTGGTCACAAGGTACCGTCAGTCAGAGTCCATAGTCCACCCGGCCGGGTCCACAAGCACACTCAAGGCTGCCGCACCATCCTTAATTCTTCTTCCCCCACACCTTTCAGCCTCACTGTTTTATCTGCTGCTTTTGTACCAAAAGAATAAAAAAACAGCCCAATCCTAAAGTTACTTTCTGTTGCTGAGATATTTCTGCTTTTATTCTCCTCATACAGAGTCCTTCCAGGTAGTGGTGAGAAGCAACGTTTTCCTCCACGCACGAAATGTTGATGAAGTCCTACGCAGCTTCAGAATCAACAACGCCCTCACGAAAAGTGAGTGAAACATGACTGAGCAATAGTGAAGACAACACAGTCTCACTGCATTTTCTGTTTCTGAATGCCTGACTGTTCAAAGCTGATCACTCAGTTCCTTTGCAACAAGAACAGCTGGAATAAACTGTTAAGCAAGCCAGCTATTGTAAAATTGATCAGAATTATCAAGTAGCTGAGCTTCCCAAAAGTATACACCACATTCGCCATACAGCTGGAATCCTCTTTAAACAACACCTTGTATAATTTTACAGCCTGTAGGAGAGCCAGAAATATGACAAAGGAGTTCGGGAGGCGGACACCCTCTCTACCTTTATGATTAGACTTAAGATGTTCCTTTTTGATAAAGCTTCCCTTAGTTATGCTGCTATAGGCCTAGGCTGCTGGGGGGCCCCATGATGCTCTGTGTTTCTCTCTCCACTCCACTCCACTCCACTCCCTATGCTTCTATATGCCACCATTACACATTACTAACTTTGTGTCTCCTCTCTCCCGTAGTGTGTCCTCTCTCTCTCCCTGTACCTTTCTGCAGATTGCCCTGGCCCTGGAGCTCTACATCTCTGACGAGCAGTCACCAGCCACATCGACCTGATCAGTGTTTGATTGTTGCTGTCGCCCAGTGCTTGCTCAAGGGGGATTTGTTGGGTTTTCCCTATGTAATAATATTGATAACAGTAAGGTCTAGACCTTACTTTGTAAAGTGTCCTGAGATGACTTTTGTTGTGATTTGGCGCTATACAAATAAAATTTGATTTGATTTGACTACCACACATGAAGCAGGGGGAAGGAAAAAGCCTCAGGTTTACTGTATGAGTTGTGAAAACCATTTCCTACCACACACACAACACAGTATCCACTGGAAGTGATGGTTTAATTAAACAAATAAAATGCCTGCTCTTTTGAGCATGTTTCTTTATTAATGTGATGGGTACTCGTGTTAGTGCAGCCTCATGTCTCAATCAGTCAAATTTGGAATCTATAGTATGAGGACAACAGTTAATGGACAAAATAATAGATAACAGGAAAAGAACAGAAGAAATTAAACCGTCTTTCTACACAAAAAGGCTTTGTCTATGTGACTCAGTGCAGATAAAAAACAACCCATACAACAACAAAGCAAACAAACAATTTTGACTTAGAAAACTGGTATAAACCACAGAACCACAAAAGGAGAAGAGCCAGGACAACCAGGATGAACCACAAGCTAGGGTCAACCCCAGTGCATTCTGAGCCCAATGATGAAGAGGAAAGAGAACATGATGGAGAGAGCTTGGTCCGCCAGCTGGTATCTCCAAATAAACCTGTGCAGTATTTGGATAGACAACCAGGTATTCTAATCTAAATGGTGACTTTGTTACCTGAAAAAATAAAGCAATATAAGACCAAGAAAAATTGACAGATTCAAAGTTCCTGGATTAATAAGCCATAAGCGAAACATTGTTAAGGCAAACAACACCTCTTTACTGTAATAAGGCAGACAAACAATGAGCTACAACCTAATTTTAATCCAAACAAACTGTTGTGATGAAATAACGTATGGGCAGTGGCTATGAGAGAGCTGCACCAGGACCTTGTACAAAGTGCAACACTGAAAGGAGGTACTACAAAAATATTAAAATAGTTCCACTCTTGGACTTTTTTCCAACAGCCAAAGTCTTGTGGTATAGCAAAGGGAAGACCAATGATTAAGTGCCAATGATTAGTGTCACCAAAGCCTTAAGTGACTTTGGTGACACTAGGCAATCCTGAAAGACTTTTCATACTAGAGGCAATTTTTTTTTGTTTATTTCACACAGCATGTGCTTTGTGGCGCAACTGTGCAAAACCGCTTGACGAAACCTTTCCACACGTTATTTCTCTGACAGTGTTCACAAACTATCTTGGCTGTAACACATAAGTATTGTGTCTGGTTGCCCTGGTGTGAAACCCCTCAAAGAAGACTGCTACTTCCAAACAAGGGGAGAACAGCAAGTGTGCATGTCCACCATGAACTAGGACATTCTAGACATTGACAGAAGGTTCAAATTATCAGTGACCTCTGCAGTAAACTAAAACAAACACTGCCCCTCCTGGTGAATATAAACAGCATTGCAACCGGCCTCCAGAAACATGCTTTGGTGTATTAACAAGGAGGGCCTGCTAACACTGCGTCATCACAGGGGTACGTTTCCAGCCATGCTCAGACCAGGGACCAGAGCTGGAACTGGAACAGGCATGGATTGTATGAGTTTTCATGGAACAGCCAACGCTGAAAAATGTCTGCATCTGTATGTAGGTACGTTTGTGTTTAGGGATAAAAAATTCTTCACCAAACTGAGACAAACACCTGAAGATCAGTGGTGACGAGTCAGCAAACAGACAAAAGATTCAACTCCAATGCCAAACTTCATATGTGCTTGTGGTTTATGGTTGAAAATGTTCCAGGTTGAATATAGCAGAGTCCAAAAGGCTGCTGACTGAACTTCTAGAGACTAAGGCCATGTTCAGACTGAGTTACAAAGATATGAAAAGACGCAGCTCTCCCCATTCAGTTCTGTGTAGGGTTGCATTCACTGCAGCCAGCACCAGCACCACAGGGGCTCTGGCGAAATGGTGCAACCTTGTGCAGTGAAAAAGTTGAATCTGGTGACATCATCTGGCAAAGGTGCTGCGTTGACAAATCACGTACGAGGGATGATCGGGATGTGGATGCCTACAGGAAGAAGACTCTTTCGTTTACCTCGTTAGCATGAACATTCACTGCTATTCACTCAAATCTGAGCCACAGTTAACCCACCATAATGACACACCATGCATCTTCATTAGTGTTAAAACCTTTCCTATCTATCAGTGCCAACACACTGCTGCCGTAGAATAGGCTACATTAGCAGCATGGTTAACCAAAATGCAACCAAAACTCCCGGGCTGCAACCGCTCACCCCTCAACCAATGCAGCCCCTTGTGTAGGGAGTTGCATTTTAGCCAGATCAGTCTGAATACCTGCTGAAAGTCATGGTTTGGTTTTTGTGCTGTTAAACTGGTGGAAGACTTAATGTGATTACATCAGAGCGCAGACTTTGAGGGGAACAAGCCTGGTCCAGACCATAATGATTTGGTTTTCCATTTACTCTGGTCCATGTGAATTAAAAGCAGCTTGGTTGTTGATTTTTGTATAACAGTTTGTTTCTTGTGAAGGTGACCACAGTGAAAAGACACTGTAGACCACAGGTTCCCATAGTCTTTAAATGTACTCTCTTAAACTCCCAGTTCCCAGAGACTGAATCCATGTCAACACATGTTTGCACTGGTTTGCACTAAAATGTCTCCAGTTTTATCACTCAGGTGATGAGCAGCCTCTCCGAACTTAACCACTCATTGTGGGACCAGAACTACACACAAAGAATGTATACCTCCACCATGGGACATAGTACCAGTGATGATGTCCTCTTCAGTTGACTTTTTTACAGTGAAATCATTGTGAGCATCAAAGGATGCTGCCGCTAATTTTGTATGTGCTTATTTCCCACAAACCCTGTTCAGAGACCAGCAGCACCAGTGAATGTGGTGTCCTCACCATAATGTGAGTCCAGACCCTGGTTCAGCTTATCGCTCTGTGCCGTAGACCTCTGCTGTTGTCCACCAGCTATTAAACCTGCCCCCCAGTGAGCCACACCGCTGCACTGGGGGACAGGTTTCTTCCTCAGGAAACAAAATATAAATGTGCAAATTCACTGGCTTTATCTATAAATGACAATGTGTTTTGGTGAAACATACATTTTATCATCTCACCATTTCATTGAACAAACATCTCTGTAAAATATTACAAAAGTAAAATATGGCTCCAAAGAAACTAAACTGAAGCAGCAGAAACATTTCTGGATTGTCCCCAAGAAGTGTTGTTTTTGTCCTCCTGCCATAGCTCCACCCGTCCTCCAGGTGGCACATCACACCACACCGATGTGACCACCTATATGTGACATGAGTCAGTATAAAATGTGTATGCAGCAGGCAGATGAAAAATTAGTTCATTGTATGTGCTGTCACTAGTCATATGGAAGACTCTTTATTGCTACATCATGTTCATCATCATCCTCAGTTTAAGTCCAGAAGTTGTTTAATGTTGGAAACATTTTTGGTTTTATGGCCAGAAAAAAACGCATCCTTCATGTAATGTAACGATGATGTTACAAATACATCACATGACTTCACAGTTCTGATGTCACTTGCCAGGTCAACTTGTGATTGATTGATCTGCCTCCTGCCTCAGCCTAGAATCCACCTGAGAGATCAGCTTATCTTTGTTGGAATACTTCTTCTATGATGTCACCTGTTCTGAAAGCCCCCTCAGTGATGTCACTTCCTTTGGCTTCAGATTCCCACCCTGTGCTGTCACCTGGTGTGATGATGTCATCTCTGTTGACTCAAACAATTCATCCTCTCCGTGTGTCAGCTTGCTGTAGCCTGTGTTGATGCTGCCAGTTGGCAGGCTGCGCCTCCTACAGGGGGGGGCTGAGACAGATGAGGAGGAGAACAGGAGGTGCGACAGGGAGGAAAGAGACAGGTGGGAGGAGGAGTAGAGGAGCAGGCCTTGGGAGCCTCCTGGCGCCTCCCTGAGGAGGCTGGAGGAGCTGCACGACACTGCTGATGGTGTCTCTTGGAAGGGTCTGGCTATGGGGGGAGTGGACAAGCACAGAGGAGGTGGTGGGAATACATCCTCCTTTCTGACACCTCCCCCCTCCTCCCTGCCTCCTGCCCTGGCCCGAGCAGAGTGCCTTCTGCGTGGAGTGAGTGGCCGTGGGCGGCGCAGGGGTAGGGTAAAGGAGCCGAGTGCCTCCTGTTGCAGGGTGGTCCAGCAGGTGGAGGGAAGAGGGGGGCTTAAGCTGGGGGGGAGGGAAAGCCTGTGGAAGGAGGAGGAGCAGGGGGGAGGAGAAGTGTCAGGCTGGTAGATACTGAATACTGTGTCTCCTCCAGGTAGTGGTTGCTTCAACAACAGCCCACCTCCTCCCTCCCTCCTGCTCATCAGCAAGGCAGGGTATGCCTTGGGTTTGGCCTCCAGGCTCTTTGATTGGACGTAGTTAACGATGCCATTAAGGGGATTGGCTGAGGAGCAGCGGGCGGAGCAGGAGGAGGCATGGAGGTCGATGACAGTGGAATAGATGTCCCGCAGGTTGATGACTTTGGTTTTCTTGTCCCGGTTTTCATGCAGGACAGCATTTGCGCAGATGAAGAGGAAAATCCCAATCCCCATAATGAGGGGCCCGAAGACCTTCAGCCTGTCAGAATACAGATACCTGCAGGGACATTTAGCAGCCAATCAGAGTACAGATACCTGCAGGGGCATTTAGTGGCCTGTCAGAATACAGACCCTGTGTACTTGGACACAGAAAAAAAGAAACCGCTCAAACCTCCTACAGGAGACTTGGAACCACATCGGGTATAAAAACAACCACCTACAGGAGTCACTGTTAGACAGGACTGTAGCCAACTGTAGACACAGGACTGTTTGTTTACCTGTCCAGAAACTCCTGCAGAAAGCCTCGAGGAAGCTGTCGGGTTGTCCCGTTGACAATTTCTGTCTGGTTAAAATGATCACCTCTTCTTCTGTCATCTCCGTGTTCCCACTCTCCTCCCTGGAAGCATTAAGAGAAACAAACATCTGGTTCACAGTTGCAGTATGGCACCACAGGTTAGCTAGACTGCATCTGCCCATACCCTGCACAGTCTGTCTGGGTTCTGGTCTAAGAGATACCTGAGCTTCAACAGGTGCAGAGCTGATGGAGGACACCGAGGCCATGGCAGAGCCCTCCAGTGGTTTCCCGGTGAAGAACAATCCTTCTCGAGGCCAGTAGCCCAGAGCTGCCATAACCACACCCACCAGCAGGACCATGATACCAAGTACTGCCACAAGACCCGAAACTGAACAAAGCTTCAGCTTCCCCTTCACTACGACCACCTCGCTCTTCCTGAGTGAGGTAGGAAGTGACATCATCACATCATGTCTATCTGCATCTGTCATTGTGAGGCACATTAGTGGATTTAGAACTTAACAAGAGAGTGGGGCAAAATTAAGTTTAGGAAGGTCCTCAGTTACCTCTTTTTCTTGTTCTTCTTGTGTGTGCGTGGTTTGTGTGGTTTGGACCTCAGTGAGTCCTGTCGCCGGGCGTTGATCCGCAGAAGGCCGCCGGTCGCAATCATCACCACCCGCCAGTCGGACAGCACCTCTTACCTGGAGTCAGTCACCAACTTCCTGTGAGACAGACAGGCAGAGTGACAGGTGAGCACTTTAAGGTGTCAATCATCTACATTCATTCTTGATTTTCATATCTGCTGATAAAGACGTGAAGACTGAGATACATTTAAAAGCCATGCAACAGGAGAGCAAGTGGGGAGGGATCCAGTTTTCCATCACCAATAAAAATAAATCTACAGTAAATGAAATTACGCTGCTGATGACCTGTCATGGCTGAACTGATTTGCTACCATGTTTTTTTATATTCTGTAACAAAGCATGACATTTGGTCAAAGTATGAATATGTAATGAACGCCACAGTCCTGCTGGAAATGTGATTTTTCATGTCTTCATGTTGTCAGACAGTTTCTACCTGTTAACTGAACATTTAACACATTCAGTTCTACCTGAACTTAGACTCCGAGCGAGAATTTCAGAGGGTTTTTTCAAAGGTTAAAACACCAGACCTACAATGAGAATTTTATGTTGGTAGTTGATTATATTAAGCCTTAAAAAAACGTGACATGTTGTAGAAGCAAAAACATCGATGTGGATCAGCTCCTGAGGTCTGACTTAACTGGATCAATAATGGAGCATCAGGTCAGTCATTAAGAACAGACTGGGTGTGTTTCTACACTACATCTTCTACAATGCACTACTCTTCCTTTGATTCCAGTGAGCTCTTTCTGTTTTTTTCTAGTCTGAATTGAAGGAACTACATCTCCCAGCATGTATTGCTGCACCTGACTCTAGCAGAGCCTTTAACATAGAAGAGTTATTGAGGGGTCAAAAACACCAGCAGATGACATGACTCATGTGGCTTCAGATAGTTCCAAACAATAGATAAACATCCATTGTTTTCTGAAGGGAACAATGGAATTCATCAACCATTACTATTTTTAATGACTTGTACAGCTTTGCTAACTAATTCAGTCTGTTGTTGTAGATTACCATTACTGTAAAAAAAAAAGGTCATTACAGAGAATCAGTGGAGGAGATGTCACACTCCTTAATTCACTCTGGGTAGCTAGGAAGCTACCTTTATTTATATTGTACATTTCAAAGTTCTTTACAGAGGCAGAGAAAAACAGTAATCAATAAAAACAAACATTAAAACCAAAAGTGAAGATAAAACATTTTTAAAATGAGATAAAACCCTAACCTATCACCTAGCCCATAAAAAGAGAAGAACAAACGGACAAAATAAGAGGTCTGAAACACAATTATCTAGCAGTTAAAGTGCAACATAAGAAAGTTTTCAGTTGAGACTTGAACATGGCAGAGTTGGGGCACATTGAAGGTCATCAGGAAGCCAATTCCATGTGTGTGCAGCTTCAGCCTCTTTGGTTCTGACCCGAGGTTCTACCAGCTGACTGCTTCCTAAGACCTCAGAGCCCTGCTGGCTTTGGATTCTTTAAGGAGTCCGTGCAGATTCTCAGTCATCCAGATCATAGTAAGCTGAAAAAAATTCAAAAATCAACTGGACTAGATTTCTAGGTCGAAGACGTTTCACCTCTCATCCAAGAGGCTTCATCAGTTCTGACTGACTGGTGTTGAGCCACAGATGTTTATCCCCCTTGGTGGTGTTTCAGTCCTTTGAAGGCCAACAATGTCCCTTAACGACTGAGTCATTAAAGCCCAGTATTGGTGAGAGTCGTTACCTTTCTTTGAATCCTCGCCTGTGGACCGATGCCTATTGTCCTGGTGGGCATGTTTGGGAAGAGATCTCAAAACAGGATTGTAGATGGATGACAAGTTGTGCCTTAGTCCACCACCCCTATTTAGTGAGGGGTGTTCTATTTTTACAAAAATTGCTTCCTTGACTCCTCTCTCAAACCAGCGATGTTTTCTGGAGAGGATCTGGACTTCACTGTTCTCAAAAGAATGTCCTTTGTCCTTCAGGTGGAGGTGGACTGCTGACTCTGGTCCACTGGAGTTGGCCCTCCTGTGTTGGGCCATGCGTTTGTGGAGCGGCTGCTTAGTTTCACCAATGTACAGTTTACACTCCTGACTACACTTATTTGCATACACCACATCACTCTGTTTATGTCTCGGGGATATTGTGGTGGCGAAAGATCCTTCTTACCTTCTCTGAAAACCCAGCCACATAAGGGATGACAGTGTTAACCTCTCGTTTCTGGTTTCTCGCTATGAGCCAATCCCGGTCGGCAATCGGGCGAAGGCGGGGTACACCTGGACAGGTCGCCAATCCATCGCAGGGCGCATCCCTAATAAATGGCTAGTATTTTAGCAATTCATCTGTGGTCTCAGGTTCTGACAGTAAAACATTCATTTCATTCAATGTCAGTGAGATGTTTGTCGCTGACATGTTTTCTCCTTTGCTCTCCCATGTTTTGTAAGAATACAACTTTCAATCCATCTTTTCCCAAACAGGTATGGATTCTTCAATGTCTATAAAAAGTTGACGACTACTTGAATCTGTTCACACAGGCCTTGCAAACATACAGCTTCTCACCAGTGTGTGATCTCGTGGTATTTCAATCGAGACTGATACCTAAACGTTTTCTCACAAGTGTCACACATTACAGACTTTCTCTCTGTGGGAGGATCTTTGTGACGTCTCCTCTTTGGCTTTGGCTCTGCATTACTAGCTGATCCTGAGTCTCCATGCTGGCTTCCTCCCTAATCCTGGCTCCCAGCTACAGCAGAGCTGGCTGGGAGCAGTACCAGTGAAGGAAGACAGGGCTTTGTCCTCAAATTCTTCCATGTACAGGTTGGCAACTATAGGAGACAATGGGGAGCCCATCGCACTACCGTGTTGCTGCCTATAGAAGTGCCCCCCTGGAAGTAGGTAGTGTTTAAACAGAGTTCCAGCAGAGTGCATACATGGTCTGGGGTGAGGTTAGTCCTGCTATTTAACGTGTCATCCTTCAGGAGTCTCTTCTTCACCGCCTTGACAGCCTCTGTGGTGGGGATGCAAGTGAACAAGGATTTGACATCATATGAGACCATGGTCTTGTCCTGGTCCAGCTGCAGTTGTTGGACTTTCCTTGCGAAGTCCTGGGAGTTAATTATGTGGTTTTCTGTGTTTCCCACCAAAGGAGCCAGAATGGTGGCCACATGTCTGGCTATGTTGTAAGTCACAGAGTTGATGCTGCTGACAATGGGTCTGAGTGGGGCTCCTTCCTTGTGTATTTTGGGGGGCCATAAAGGCAAGGGATACCCAGGGGAGGCCATCCCAAAACAAATGCAGCTGGACCAGGACGAGACCATGGACTAAGTCTTACATTTGCAAACACCTGCTTGTTGTCTGGACACAAGACGTCGCACACTTTCATCATGCAGCTCTTCAGAAACTCTCCCTCGGTAAATGGCCGGGTTGATTTGACTATCTCCTCTGCCACAATAAAACTTGCTTTCACAGCAGCTTCACTGTGTGATTTCACTTTGGTGAAAACATCTGCTGTGATGTCAGATTCTTCTTCAACTCCTCTACCTTCTGCTCTGCATTCACATTTTTCAGCTTGTCCTGGTGTTTTGTCTCATAGTGCCATCTTAGGTTATATTCCTTAATTACAGCCACATTAGCTCCACAAATAAGACACATGGGTTTACCGGCAATTTCAGTAAACATATACAGTACTCAGCCTCCCACCGGTTTTAAAAGGCTCTGTTTTCATAATCAACCTTTCTCTTGGCCATTGTTAGGGGCTAGCTTTGACTTGAAATTAGGATTGTATACATCAACAGACGCTTGATTGATCTGATGTAATCGACGCGAGAATGATCGCAGGTAGCCTATCGTTCGGTATGGCAGCTGTTGCGCTGCATTATGGGATTTGTAGTTTGTGTGTTATTGGCACTTCATGTCACCGGGCCATTAAAAAAAACGATATATAAAATGATCCGGCCCGCGGGCCTCGAGTTTGACACATGTGCAGTGTAAGGATTTAAGAACAAGAGTGATGTGCTTCTCCTGGTTCTGGTTAAAACTCTGGCAGCAGCGTCTGAATGACTTCAAGCTATGTAGCAGCGAGAAGACCAGACAAAAAGCCGTTAAAATAGTCCAGCCTGCTGGAGATGAAGGCATGAATTTGTTTCTCTAGATTTTATCTGGACATGAACATGGAAGTCTGATTCTATTCTGTTTTTTCTTACTTATCCCGATCCATCAAAACTGACTGATACACATACCGATGTCTTGCTTTTGGACCTTGGTGGAATTCTGTTCCTGTGGTCAGTGTAGTGTGTTACTTCCTGTTGCCAGCTCATTGTGCTGTTCTGTTGTTTATGGATTGTTTACAGGTTATTTTTAGCTCACCTAATACAGAATTCTCTGTACAATGGCTCATTTTTTAGTCTTAACCAGAGATGCTTACAAATAATTTTTCCAAGTCTAGTGTCAAGTTCCTTGTGGTTGTAATGAGCATCCTTTCATGTGCTGCCTGCCATCCAGATTGCTTAGAACACTGCATTGTTGTATCTAATGAATTCAAAGCATAACACTGCATTATCATCACTCCATTATCCATTAGCTACAATATCAGCATTGATTAGTTGTTAGGTGTTTGGTATATAATATAAAAAATGGATATTGGCAGTTACTCAGGGTAACAGGAAAATATTGCTAACATTATAGGCAAGCAACAACAACTGTAACCTCTTAGAATAAGTGTACAACTTACTGTTATTACACTGGCTCTCCAACTAATGATAGCGTATAATCTACTGTAAATTAACACATGGCTGTAGCCTCTCAAACCCAGTGCAACAGTAACCTAATAAGCCTGTAATGTTACATGGTCAGTAGTAAACCTGTAACGTGCCTGTAGGCCATGTTAATTATTAATGTGGTCTTTCTCTCAGTTCAGGGTTAGCTAGCAGATGGTGGCAGAGGAATGTGGATGATTAATTACCCATTTATTTCTATAGTCATTGCAAAGCCAGCATTGTATGTGAACAAGTGTAGCAAGCAAACAGAGTCTATCTACAAAGCTAGTAACAAACTAATGTTGACAGCTGATGCTGAGCTAACATGTTTGCTAATGGTCCATAGGAGTGCACGTTAACTTGTCTTTCACATTACCAAGTGACTGACTGACCTTTCTAGGTCAATTTTGAGATGCCTGATAAAATGGCAGAGCAGCTGCAGGTGCGCTCGCCATGGTCACAGTGTTGCTGTTGTGGCAGCACATGCCATGCATGTGTAGAGTTACACATAATGATAGGAAATGGAATGACATTCAGCTTGTCAGACATTTCCTTAATGTTAATGCAAAAAAATATTTTCACAAGTCCCAAATCCCGAGTCTGACTTGGGTCTCAAGTCTTTTGAGGATGAGATGAGTCAGTGTGTGTGCAACTTAAATACAATGAAGTGTCCAAGTGGCAAATGGGAATCCCCATCTCTGGTCTTAACATACTTTTGCACTACTCCAGCACCTGTTTAACAAAATATCCTGCTAATATCAAATTTTGCTTGTTGCTTTAGGCCCACTAGCTAAGCTAGTAGCTTAGTTGAGAGCAATTGGCTTCCCCCTCTTCCTCTTGCTCGGAGTGTCGCATGTTCAGTTATTCTTCTGCCTCCTTTAGCAATAATGGTAGTTGTAGTAAATGTCAGATGCTAGCAGCATTGGAGGCGAGGCTCACTGATTTGGAAGCGCGGAGCCTCCTAGACGTAGCTCTGGCCAAGTTAGCCGTCCCCCATTGGTTCCCAAGGAGACAGGTGGCTGGGTGACCATTCACACGAGTCATAGCTCAAAACAAATGCCCACGGTGCATCACCTGCCTGTCCAGGTTTCAAGTCGATTTTCCCCACTCAGCGACACACCCGCTGAAAAAATAATTCTAGTAACTGGCGACTCCATAGTCAGAAACGTGAAGCTAGAGACACCGGCAGCCATAGTCAAATGTATTCCTGGGGCCAGAGCGGGTAACATCGGATCCTATCTGAAGCTGCTGACTAAGGATAAGCGTAAATACAGTAAGGCTGTTGTTCATGTCAGCGCTAATGACTCCTGACTTCGCCAGTCGGAGGTCACTAAAATTAATTTTGAGTCGGTGTGTAACTTCGCTAAAACAATGTCAGACTCCGTAGTTATCTCTGGACCCCTACCCAATGTGACAAGTGATGACATGCTTAGCCGCATGTCGTCATTCAACCGCCGGTTGTCTAGGTGGTGCCCAGAAAATAATGTGGGCTTCATAGATAACTGGAAAACATTTTGGGGAAAACCTGGTCTGATTAGTAGAGATGGCATCCATCCCACTTTGGGTGGTGCGGCACTTATATCTAGAAATCTGGACGAGTTTATTTTACAATCTAATTTATGACAACCCAGAGCTGAGACCAGGATGCAGAGCTGCAGTCTTACACGCCTCTCTGCGTCTCTTTGCAGCTGCTACCCACCCAACACTCCCAGTACCAGAGAATGGGAGGCAGAGCATTTAGCTATCAAGCTCTTCTGCTGTAGAACCAGCTCCCAGTTTCGTTCGGGAGGCAGACACACTCTCTACCTAAGATTTGGCTCCGAAGTTTCCTTTTTGATGAAGCTTATCGTTATGGCTGGCTCGGGTGACCCCGAGGCCTGTAACACTGTAAGGGCTGGACCTCACCATGTTCAGTGCCTTGAGATGATTTTTATTGTGAGTTGTTGCTATACAAATTGCACTGCAATGAGTTTCATTGAATTGCTTAGCACTGACAGATTCTAATTGATAATGATTAGTACTGATGAGTATCTGTTGGTATTATTGAGCAGTATTGGTTAGTATTGATCAGAGCAGTAATGCTAAAAGTAATCAGTTATTGCTGCAGAAAATGCATAAGTGCTGTTCAATACTGATCAATTACAACTCACACACATACAGAGACCACAAACAACATGGACACACACATACAATAGATCACAATAGAAGGCGTTTGTTCTCACGGATGGAGCTCCCATCAGTCCATATTCCTCCTCTTCTCTTCATCCTTGTCCTGCTGCTGCTGCTGTGTAGACCTCCTCTTGTTGTCTCCTCTGTGTATTCTCCTCCTCTGTTTAAATGTCTCCTCCTCCTCTCTCTCTCTCCGTGTTCAAACCTCACTCACCCTCTTCTGTTTCTGCAGTGATGCTGTTGCTGAATTAATTTGCTCGTCCTCAGACATAGACAGGTTCTTTACACCGTCCTTCCTCATCCTCCTCAGACAGGCTTCTTGCACCACTCGTCTGTCTCTTTAAGCTCACTGTGTCTGTCAGCTTTATTGATCCGTGTCAGGCCTGTCGTCAGCCTCCTGGTCCTGGACTGTGGATCCTGTGATTCTGAAAGTTCATTTTTATCTTTAAATGGAAATTAAAATAGGGACAAAGATCAAAATCCAACTCGGAGTGAAACAGCAGCTGTGTGACATCATGTGGCTCACCTGTTTTTGAGACAAACCAATGAATTTTCACTCGGATTAGTTCAGAAACTTTATAGATCTCATCAAACACTGACAGAAAAGCAGGTTTCATATAAATACCAACCAGTTGTTGAGGATGCAATTACTGTGGAAATTTGAGAAACACAAGCCTCACCCACTGTGGTGACATCACAAAGGGGGAGGAGTTGGTCTGGTCGAAATACAAATATACACACACACACACACACATATATATATATATATATATACACACACACATACATACATACATATATAAAAGTACTTTAAAATATAGCTCTCATGAGACAGAGTAGATAATAATAGATGCTCTTCAAAACACCAGAGAGAGAAACATTAGAAATTTAAACTCTGACCAGTGACAGCAGAGGTGGGGCTACCTGCCAGGTGTGAAACCTAAATTCTGAGAGTTTCTTGTTTATTGATGAGCAAATTTTAGTTTGAAAGAAGATGCAGAGAAAAAAAATCTTGTGATTATGACAGTTTTGTTTGTATCAGATGAAAACTTGTCAGGTTTTAACTTGCTTTTAGAGTTTTGCTCGTATGAAATGTTTTTCACAAGATGTATCATTTTAAGATGCATTGTTGTGTTTTCAGGCAACTTTTCTCATAATTAAACCTTTTCTTGTTATTACACATCTTTCTATGACAATTCTAAAAGCTTTTGTTAGAAATATGAGGTTTATTTTGTAATAGCGAGTTTCTTGTAATGAAAATACTTTTTAATAATGACGTTTTGCAATTGATTTTTGTAATTGTGTGACTTCTGTGGAAATGATCATCGAACATTTTTGATTATTTGAGTTTTATGATACGACTTTTTAATGCAGTTTCTCTTGTCCCTTTTCTCACATTTATCAGATGTTTTCTCATAATTACAAAACATTGCTTTTCATTTACTGAGCATTTATATAATTATCATTTTCTCTTAATTGTCACACTTTCTTATTACTAGACTTTTGATCACAATTTATAAACTTTACTAATTCATTTTAATTATGAAAGTGTTTATGCACTTATGGTACTTTTTGCGTTTAAGACATATCATTAAAATTATTACTAGTTATACTAGTTTATCATAATATGAGACCTCATAAAATAACAACACCTTAAATAATTATAATGTAGAATTTTTTTCATACATGAGTTTCTTGTGACTTTTTCCTTAATTGAGACTATTTCATAACACTTCTAGTAATTTTCAACTTGTAATTATTGCACTTTTTTGGCACCAGGATAGTTTACTTATAATTCTGTCTTGCATTTTACAGATTCATTGTAATCATGAAACAATTTGCCATCACAAGATCTATCTGGTAATGAACTTTTTTCTATTAAAATCTGTTCTTGAAATTGAGATTTTTTTCTTGAAATTTAATTGAGAGAAATCAGTTTTTCTTTTGTTAATGCAGTGTACATATATGCTACACTTAATTTTTTAAACTGCTTTAAACATGTTAATTTGTTTATGTTTTCACATAGTTCTGTAGTTAAACTGACAGGAAGTCACTTGTTCTTCACAAAAATAGGAAAGACAAACCTCAGACTGCTGAATACTGAGGAGCTCACAATGAAAATGTAGAACAGAAATGTGATCTTAAAACTGAGTAGGAATTTTCTGGACTCTTTTCTTTTTTTCTTTAATGTTTTAGCCAATTGTCTGGCAGCAGCTATTTTTTTTTAACCCTGATGATTTTAAAATTTGAGGAAAAATTCAACAAACCTTACAAAAACTAAATGTTTTTTGTATAAAGGTTCAGATGTTTTTTATACATATATTTTGTTGACGGTGAATTTAAGAATTAATGTCACTGAGGAAACATTATGATGTACACCTGCATTCCATTTCAGACTCCGCCTTCTTAAACCCTTTCAGTTTGAACATCATCACAGTAGGTGTCTCCCAGAATCCTTTGCACACTGGTTGTGGTTTTGGTTGAGTTTAATCTTCAGGTTTATAAAGGATCCCTTCGTTTACCTTTGCCCCCTCTGAGGTGGCAGAAACGGAGCACAGGTGTGTCAGGTGATGTGATGCGTTGGTGTCGATGGGTTTGCTTCAACATGATGTCACAACTTCTACATGCTGACAGAAACACACCTGAGATTATTGCTGTGACATTGCAAAGTTAAATCTGATTGACTGGATGGAAAATGTAGCCCCCCCCTTTATAAACAGGTGTTTCCATATTGACTCAGTCTGGAGATGCAGTGTCAGGTGTCTTTTTGCTTGGTGTGTGTGATTGGTTGCTGTCCTTCACATGTGATTGACTTCTATCATTCTCGTTCGATTGGCTCCTGTCCTGGGCATATGATCGGTTCCTGTTCTCACTGTGTGACTGGTTCGTGTCCCCGGCGTGTTTGAACATCAGGATGGAGTTGTAGATCTTGAGGGCAGGACCGAGTTTGATTGACATGATCCTGACGATGTCCCGTTGGGTGAGCAGAAGGAAGGCCCGCCCATCGATTTGCTAGATAGACAGAGGCGAGAACCAATCACATCACAGCAAATTCAACGTGACATCATTAAACCTAGAGAAGTCAAATGGTCATCTCACCTCGTCTCTGAACTGTTTTGCCTGTTCCTCACAGCCAGGGAGTGACTCGATGAAATCCGACACCTGCAGCGAGACAGTGACAGAAAGTAAAACAGGTATGCTACAGTATACATTAGGTTGAAGCTGCCATACTATTGATGTAATTGCCTCTCTGTATCCACAGCTCCCAGTTAATCTGTCTCTCTCTCTGATTTGTCCTACTGACCTGCTGGACACTCCAGTGCTGGACGTTCTCAGCGTGGACTCCGGCGACCCCTGGCAGCAGTTTGCGGTGTTGCTCCCAGCAGAGCGATAGGTCACGGCCGGGCTGCACCGACATGGCTGACAGGAAGACCGACTGGTGGGGGGTGGCTGACATACTGGTCTCTGCTGCTGGCAGAGGGACCGACAGGTCAGAGACAGGAAACGCCTAACATTTCCTTAGTAACCACATGACAACTTCTTCAGGGAGTAACCAATTAGCAACACCTTCATACCAACATGACAACCCTTAAGCAACTACGTAATGACACCTTACTAACCACTGAGCAACACCTTAACAACCACCACACATCTTAGCACCTAATGGCACCTCAGTAATGACACCTTAGCAGCCCCTTAAGGACACCCTCCTTCTTTTCAGATAAAAGAGGAACAGAACTTTTTTGCAAACAGGAAGTGACCGGGTCACCCCCTCACGTTGCACGGCACTGAAATATAATGGATAGAAACAGAGTTCAACATAATGTGACAACTGTGGAAAAATGAATAAACTGGATGGGTATAAATTCTTCTATGAGGAGTTTGTACACAACTACCTAGTTAAATAAACCTACAATGCTTATCCTAGCAAGCTTTAGTGTTAGCTAAGCACAGACTAACATAGCTTTAAAGCTACCTGGTTCCTGGTCAACCTAGAGGGTCTAGTGGGACTCAGAACATACTCCCACCATAAACCACTCTTTTTTCACTAATGATGAGTTCCCACAATCGTCACCACCTGTTGAACACCAGTGCTACCCATTCTGACTGTGTTGTGATTAGGGGTAGGTGCAGTGTAAAGCAGAAATGGGGTTACCTGTTTACTTCCTGTTTATGTGAAAAAGGTCGATGGACATTGTTTAGTGGCATCACGTATTTTTCAGGTTCTTCTTGAATCAGAAAATATCATTATCAGAACGTGAGTGTTGGTGCTGATGTCAAGCACTTCCTAATGAAAGCCGACCACAGAACAAAGGTTCCCCCATTCACTAGTTGCAGTCTCTGCTGGCTCACACTCCCTGTATGGGCATGTTTCACCGTTTTATCTATGGCATTATTGATTGATCCCTGAGAAATAATCTGCAGATGAATTGGTAGTTGCAGCTTCTGCATCACGTAGTGTTAGGGTTAGAGTAAGTCTAAAACCTAGTCCTGTTTCTGGTCAAGAATCAGGTCCTGAGATTCAGTGGTCACATCTGTCATTTTCTGACTGAACCACAGTGTGAAAATGTCTTGGAGTCAAGCAGGACCTGCACTGACCTGCAGAGGAACCACAGAAGACCTGTCCTATCCCTCTGAGCAGGGAGACAGGCTTCTTGTCACCCCTAACCAACGAGTTAGGGGCCACAGTTGTTCAAAGCACAACCAACACGGCTGTTACCATGGTGAACTGTTTCCATGGAAACAGCCACTTCATCGGCCTGCTGTTGCCTTAGAAACAGGCAGAGGAGGGAGAGGAGGATGCTGAATGAGAGACAATGCTGTAACAGGATTTATATTAGGCATGAAGAGCATCATGAGAAATCCTTCTTCCTCACAGTGTATTTATTGATCCAGACATGATCAGCTCATTCTCTCCCCAGTTGTGGCTTCTGTGGTTTCCTTGGTCACATGCCAAGTAGAGCCAAGCTGGTCACATTTCCATAATAACAAACCACAGTGTAAGAGCAGCTGTATAGCACCCCCTGCTGTTCACACAACTCATGTTGTGCTACTGCAGTACAGCTGATTCTATTTGTACTTTGACTCTGAACCAAACTCACAGTTCTGGGGGTTGTGTATATGAAGTAATTTTGTGCTTTAGTTATCTCCCACAAACCCCATCCAGAGACTAACAGCGCTGGTTAATGTGGCATGCCCACTGTAATGTTTGAGTCTAGCCCCTGGTCCAGCTTATTGCTCTGTGCTGTAGACCTCCACCGTTGTCCACCACACCGATGCACTGGGGGGCAGGTTTCCTCCACAGGAAACATTGGAGGCCATGTGTTTCCAACACAAGGCTCCAAAGGCTTAGAACGGCATCACTGTGCACAGAGTCTTAAGGAAGAGTCACTGTCCTTTGGCTGCTTTTAACCCTCTCCATGTCAAACAGCCAAACCCATGTTAACCCTGGTTGTTACTTTTTCTTTGTCCCACTCTCTCTGCGCAAAAGATGCCACCTCTTCACTCTGGCAGCTGCTGGTTCAGACTTTTAGCTGCCCAGAGCTCCTCCATGGCTGTTTGACATGACTACTGGCTGGAAAAACCCTTCTAACCTTGGCTAGGCGGCAGGCGGGGCTGATTTACAGACCATACTTTGACAACACAGGGTGGAGAAGCTGGAATAACACCTGTACCTTAACAACTGTTAAACATACTTGGATTGAGAGCAGCAAGGTGAAGCTCCTCCTCCTCCTCCTGTTTCACACAGAGGAATTTGGTTGGCTGAGTCAATCTGCGGGGGGGGGGTGGCTGACATACTGGTCTCTGCTGCTGGCAGAGGGACCGACAGGTCAGAGACAGGAAACGCCTAACATTTCCTTAGTAACCACATGACAACTTCTTCAGGGAGTAACCAATTAGCAACACCTTCATACCAACATGACAACCCTTAAGCAACTACGTAATGACACCTTACTAACCACTGAGCAACACCTTAACAACCACCACACATCTTAGCACCTAATGGCACCTCAGTAATGACACCTTAGCAGCCCCTTAAGGACACCCTCCTTCTTTTCAGATAAAAGAGGAACAGAACTTTTTTGCAAACAGGAAGTGACCGGGTCACCCCCTCACGTTGCACGGCACTGAAATATAATGGATAGAAACAGAGTTCAACATAATGTGACAACTGTGGAAAAATGAATAAACTGGATGGGTATAAATTCTTCTATGAGGAGTTTGTACACAACTACCTAGTTAAATAAACCTACAATGCTTATCCTAGCAAGCTTTAGTGTTAGCTAAGCACAGACTAACATAGCTTTAAAGCTACCTGGTTCCTGGTCAACCTAGAGGGTCTAGTGGGACTCAGAACATACTCCCACCATAAACCACTCTTTTTTCACTAATGATGAGTTCCCACAATCGTCACCACCTGTTGAACACCAGTGCTACCCATTCTGACTGTGTTGTGATTAGGGGTAGGTGCAGTGTAAAGCAGAAATGGGGTTACCTGTTTACTTCCTGTTTATGTGAAAAAGGTCGATGGACATTGTTTAGTGGCATCACGTATTTTTCAGGTTCTTCTTGAATCAGAAAATATCATTATCAGAACGTGAGTGTTGGTGCTGATGTCAAGCACTTCCTAATGAAAGCCGACCACAGAACAAAGGTTCCCCCATTCACTAGTTGCAGTCTCTGCTGGCTCACACTCCCTGTATGGGCATGTTTCACCGTTTTATCTATGGCATTATTGATTGATCCCTGAGAAATAATCTGCAGATGAATTGGTAGTTGCAGCTTCTGCATCACGTAGTGTTAGGGTTAGAGTAAGTCTAAAACCTAGTCCTGTTTCTGGTCAAGAATCAGGTCCTGAGATTCAGTGGTCACATCTGTCATTTTCTGACTGAACCACAGTGTGAAAATGTCTTGGAGTCAAGCAGGACCTGCACTGACCTGCAGAGGAACCACAGAAGACCTGTCCTATCCCTCTGAGCAGGGAGACAGGCTTCTTGTCACCCCTAACCAACGAGTTAGGGGCCACAGTTGTTCAAAGCACAACCAACACGGCTGTTACCATGGTGAACTGTTTCCATGGAAACAGCCACTTCATCGGCCTGCTGTTGCCTTAGAAACAGGCAGAGGAGGGAGAGGAGGATGCTGAATGAGAGACAATGCTGTAACAGGATTTATATTAGGCATGAAGAGCATCATGAGAAATCCTTCTTCCTCACAGTGTATTTATTGATCCAGACATGATCAGCTCATTCTCTCCCCAGTTGTGGCTTCTGTGGTTTCCTTGGTCACATGCCAAGTAGAGCCAAGCTGGTCACATTTCCATAATAACAAACCACAGTGTAAGAGCAGCTGTATAGCACCCCCTGCTGTTCACACAACTCATGTTGTGCTACTGCAGTACAGCTGATTCTATTTGTACTTTGACTCTGAACCAAACTCACAGTTCTGGGGGTTGTGTATATGAAGTAATTTTGTGCTTTAGTTATCTCCCACAAACCCCATCCAGAGACTAACAGCGCTGGTTAATGTGGCATGCCCACTGTAATGTTTGAGTCTAGCCCCTGGTCCAGCTTATTGCTCTGTGCTGTAGACCTCCACCGTTGTCCACCACACCGATGCACTGGGGGGCAGGTTTCCTCCACAGGAAACATTGGAGGCCATGTGTTTCCAACACAAGGCTCCAAAGGCTTAGAACGGCATCACTGTGCACAGAGTCTTAAGGAAGAGTCACTGTCCTTTGGCTGCTTTTAACCCTCTCCATGTCAAACAGCCAAACCCATGTTAACCCTGGTTGTTACTTTTTCTTTGTCCCACTCTCTCTGCGCAAAAGATGCCACCTCTTCACTCTGGCAGCTGCTGGTTCAGACTTTTAGCTGCCCAGAGCTCCTCCATGGCTGTTTGACATGACTACTGGCTGGAAAAACCCTTCTAACCTTGGCTAGGCGGCAGGCGGGGCTGATTTACAGACCATACTTTGACAACACAGGGTGGAGAAGCTGGAATAACACCTGTACCTTAACAACTGTTAAACATACTTGGATTGAGAGCAGCAAGGTGAAGCTCCTCCTCCTCCTCCTGTTTCACACAGAGGAATTTGGTTGGCTGAGTCAATCTGAGAGGGGCAGGGTCAGAGGAGAGAAGGACAAAAGTCTTTTTTAAACCATCTGAGATGGAAGATTATCAAAAATAAATGAACATATAAATAAATAAATAAATAAATAAATAAACAAACCCTGGAGTTTTTGAGTAAGACCTTTATTTAGAAATGTTTTTATAAGATTAACACATCTATAACATGTTCAAACACTAATCCTTGCCAAAGCAAAAATGTCTCAACTTCACCCACTGTCAAAACCTGAAGAGATCCAACCTCTAGCAACACTGCCAATATGTTGGGCAACAGACTCTTAACATATTTTTAAAACTGTCTGTCTCACCTGTCTGCCTGTCGTCTCCTCTTCCCCAGAGGAAGCAGCAGAGTTTTTTCTCCAGGCTCCATCTTAACCTGGACACCTCTTCTGTTCAGCAGACAGGTAGGTACAGAGACAGGTAAAAAACTAAATTCAGACTTAAATGTTTCCTTTACATATAAAACATAAACTGTTAGTGATGAATCATTTTTTAAAAAGTTTATTATTCTTCTGTGCTAAATGCAGAAGTTGCACATGCTGTGTGGTTGTGTGCAGTTATTACACCAAACACATTTACAGTGGCTTAACATGCCCATGGTTACCTGTCTGGCTGGTTGCCATGGTGATGCATGGCAACAGGTACAAGGGTGATGACTCTCTCTCCTCCCAGCCTATCAGGAAGCACCACCTCTTTACGCATATTAATGTCTGAGTATGGACAGCCAAAGGCACTGGGTGAGAGACAGACAGAGACAGGGAGGGAACAAAGTGAGAGAGATTTCAGCACCACCAGTGAAAAATAAGAAACGTAAAAAACCTGACTCAGCAAACAGAAACCTGACTCTGCATATTAATAATATGACTTGGCAAATAAAAGAGTAGAGGCAAAACACATTAAGCTGAAAAAAAAAGACAAAACCTATCAAGTGTGAGTTTGTATGAGACAGGTGTGTGACAGATAGGTGTACCTGTGGTGTCCAGTGTATTTGGCTCCTTTGATGTGTCCGACTCCTCTGCAGCCTGGGGTGGGACACACTCCCTGAGAGGGGGAGGAGAGGGGGGAGGAACCTTTCTCACACACAGGGAATGACAATGTTAAAACTTTTTTTGTGTATATTGTTGGTATGGAGTCAGTTGCTGTCTGATTGTGGTGGGGGGTGGGGGGAGTTCATTCTATTATTATATTACATTTTTCAGTGCTCATAAAAAATTACAGTATTTCATTTCATTATTGGAATTTTTCATCCCTGCATATATTGCCTGTTTTGTCAATGCTTAGGGCTGTGATGCACCAGGCTGAGAGTCAGCCATCGGTGAGCGTCTGTGGGGGCTCATCTTTTTAAGGTGCCCTGCTCTATTGGCACTAGTCAGACTGTCGGCGGCTTTGAGGCCAATTCGACATTTTGGGCCGGTTGGGCCTCGTCAGTGAGAGAGATCACTCTAATTGGTTGTTCAGCCTAGTGAATCAGTGCATGAGAGGAGAACGGTTCAAGAAAGTCCCTTCAGCCTGTCGCTGTAGTATCCATAATTTCACCCATTTAGTGCGTTTTTTTGTCTCCATGACCTCCTTTCTTCTTCCTGAACCAAAATACCAAGGGCAGAGAATGGTGGCATCATTTGCAGCTTCTTATCAGACATATTCCTGATGAGAAGCAGCTGTAAACAGCAGCTGTGTTGAATGAGAGGTGTTTTGTTTATAGCTTATACTTCCACAGTCTAGCTCTTCTTCTTCCCCTTTCTGAATGGCAACTATAGATACTGCCACCTGCTGGTAGGAAGAGTTATTTCTGTCACACAGGTGCAGTTGGCTTTTGGCTGTCATTTGTGTAGTGTGTTCAATTGTCACTTTTTTTAACCCAACTGGCCCAGACGAAGCTGACGTGAGGCAACACAACAGTCAGCGTTCATCACTGCTAGTTCGTTCACGTCAGCTTGGTGCAGTTCTGCCCTTTTAAGCTCTGCTTAAAAATCTGTGAACAGCACCTTCTGTAGATGTTAAGCTACTTTTAAGGTGGACTGACAAATTCTAGTTGGAAGCTAGGCTCAGTGTCATGCAGGACGTGTCTGCCTGTCTCTGTCTCTTTAATCTCTGACCTGGTGGGGGTTCCAGTGGATGTCCTGTGCGCTGACACCAGCCAACAGGATGAAGGTCACAGAGATCGCTGTCACACCAGACGTCAAACTGCCGCGACCAGCCATCATAATGAATCTGCAGGAGTGTACACCTGGTTACATCATCGCACACTTGATGACATCACACAGGTACACCATAAAGGTATGCAGTACCTTCACCCTGTAGTCCTCTGTGTCTGTTACCGTGGTGACACGGATCAGCATGGGGTTCCTCCTGTCCACTGCCTCCAACCTGTGGTTCACTTGGAAACCATGTGGAGCTCTCTGATTGGACAGACACACCTGTCAGCCATTACAAGCCGCTTTCTGATTTGATCTGAGAGCTGTCAGTTATTCGTCTACCTCCTCAGCTCCTCTAGTTCAAGTATTCTCATTGCATATAAAACAGAACAAAACAGCACATTTCCCAGAGGTATCATAATTAAGCAACACATAAATAGACACCATAAATCTATAAAACAAGATAAAATTCTAATAAAAAATGAAACTAATTCAAATATTTCATAAAATAGATTATGCAACATCTCTGGCATGTTGCATGTCCGTACTGCATCATTTAACATAACTGCTTGAGGAAAGAAACTATTTCTAAATCTAGTGGTCTTTATTTTAATGTGCTTGCCGTGTCTGACAGTTTGTGTACGATCAGTCACCAGGAACAAAACAGCAGGAGGTGTTGCTGTGAATACACAGGCCACCACTGGTCTTACCACAGTCTGTCAGCTCACTATGTGGGGCTGCCTATTAATGCCATCGCTGTAGCTCTACCTCCTCCTTTCCTTCTCTACCTCCCTCTTTCCTTCTTTACCTCCTTCATTCCTTCTCTACCTCCTTTTCCTTCTCTTCTCACCAGTGTGAAGGCTGAACTGGGAGCAGCAGTGGAACCAGTTTCCTGCAGGTATTCCTCCCATAGGAAGTTTTCGGGGTTGGGGTGACCTAAAAAATAAAGGTACTGCTTACTAAAATAAGCATAATACCAAGTACATACTGTTTAACTACTGTGTGCATAAGTACAGTGTCGAGGAGTGGTGTGTATAAATACTGCATGTGTAAGTACTGCGTGTACCCTGAGGAGCTGTTAGAGGCCGTCCCTGCTCTTCACACCAGCCCACAGGATGGATGTACGGACTGCTGCTATCACACCTGATCGATCAGTACAACCATCAGTAAATCCACACATACACATTGCAGGTCAGGTACACCTTAATCAAAATCTGATCTCATGGGGATCAATCAGTCTGCTACAAACAGTCTGCAGCACTTTCTGCTGGTCAACTACATGATCTTCTATGGCTACTAACACCAGTACCTGTCTGTCACCTGTCTGTATGTTTCTGACCGGTCTGTCTCACCAGTAGTCATATGTGTCGTCCCAGTTGTCAAAGTGAACCAGGAAGCGGTTGTTGATGACATCAGCAACGGAGGCAACGCAGACAAGTCCGGGGTTCTTCCTGTCAACCGCCTCCAACTTCATCCCCACCCTGAACCCACAGTCCTGAGAGACAAACAGGCAGAGAGACAGATGGGTGTTCCAGCTCAATCCACAGCCCTGAGACAGACAAACAGAGGCAGACAGGTGTACACTCACTGCGGCGCGATAGGCGAACAGGGTGGGCGGAGCAGCATGAGAGCCAGTGGACTGAAGGTAGGTCTCCCAGTCAAACTCTGTCTCACTGTGACCTGTAGAAAAAGAGACAGGTAGAGAAATGTTACCTGTGTCAGGTGATTACCTGTAAGGGGGCGCAGCTTCCTGTGTTCACCTTTCGGCGGGTGAAGCTTGTGGTTGTGGTCTTTACACCAGCCTGTCGGTCGGATGTCTGCCGAGTCGGCGTTTACCCAGAAGTCGTAGCACTCTGAGTACCCATCAATATGGAGTCGCAGCCGACAGCCAGTCACCTGGCAGAGAGACACGAGTCACCTGACAGACCTCAGACAGGTGTGTGTGTCAGAGAGAGCATTACCTCAGCAACTGTGAGCACACAGAACATGGAGGGGTGGAGTGGGTCAATGCCCTCCAGCTTCATCCCAACTTTAAAACCAGTTCTCCTACTGGGAAAGGACTGGGACTGAAGAGTCAGACAGGTCAGAGAGAGAGAGAGACAGGTCAGAAAGATATACACGTGTGTGTGTGTGTGTGTGTGCTAGTCCTGGGCGTGCTACCTGTGTAAACAGTGTCAGAGGCGCAGCTTCAGCCTTCTCTTCGTTCAGGTACTGCTGCCAGGACCATGACCGTCTTTTCACACCCACTAAACACACAAATACAATGTTGTCACCAGGTGTTACAGGTCAGCACAGGGAGGTGGGGACGGGGGTTTATGACTTGTACTACAACCTGCCACCAGGGGTTGATCAGATGTTTTGGTCCTAACAAGATTGAGAGCTCTGATAAACTGGCAGCCAACCAGAGAGCAGAATTTCATGCAGGTGCACCTACAGGTGTGTGTTACCTTGAGTGCTGCTGACTTTGTTCTTCATCTTCTGTTCTTTTTTGGTTATTCTCTGTTCAACAAGGAAGTAAACACAAAGATGAGGCTATGGTGGCCTGGAGAAGTCACAAACACAGTGCTGCTGGCAAAGCATCATGGGAGCTGTAGTTTGGAAGAGCTGACACTGAATTGCAGAAACTGGTAATTTAACTAAACATTTTACCCAGATGAGTTTTGTCATTCATCTGTGTTTGACCAGTCAACAATTGGATCAGTTCAACCAGTTTATCCAATATTATCTTTGCTTTTATAAAACCCTCTAAATGTCTGGCAGATGTCAGTGTGACAGAGTTTAATCAATCAGGAGTCAATCAAAACACTAACAAAATTAGTCATTGACAATCCTTTTTTCATGACGAAAAGGAGACTTAGCTAAATAAAAAAGTTACCAGTTGAAAATAAGAACAGTCTTCATCAGTGAATAAAAACTGAATGTTAATGTGAAAAACAGATGAATGAACATGAAGTAATTATGTCTTAATGCATAGTCTTATCCAGTGACCTGTAGCATGTGTGGAACCACAAACTGTGGCTTCTGATCCATGAAACCAAATCTCTCCTGTTCAGATGTTGAGTTTTTCCTCCCCACTGTCGCCAAGTGCTGCTAAAGGGGGATTTGTTGGGTTTTTCCTATGTAATAATAATAGTAAGGTCTAGACCAAGGGTCCCCAACCCCCGGTCCGTGGATCATTTGGTACCGGGCTGCAAAGAAAAAAATTTCGTGGTTAAAATTATAGTTATTTTTCTTTCATTAGTCTTAGTTTGAAAAACAACTGTTTCTGCCCTTGCCTCACTACCGCACTTGACTCTGGCACGCCATTTTACGCATCAGCGTCACAAGCTAACCCTTTAAAAAAAATGAGCCAAAAACAAAATTCACTGGAGAGCTTTTTCGGGAAGGAACGAGCAAACGATGGGACAGCAGAAGGGTCACATACTGCCAGCAAAAAGAAACCTGCATTTAAAAGAAAATACCACGATTCCTACCTAAGTTACAGGTTCATCGCAACAGGTGATACCCAAGCTCCACACCCACTATGCATAATTTGTGGTGACTAGCTAATGAAGTCATGAAACCCTCAAAAATGCTTCGCCACTGCATTAAAAGACAAGCCCTTGGAATTTTTTTCTAGTTGCAGGGAAACAAGCCCAGGGCTCCCACTGACCGTATTATGGCGAATTGATATTATAGTGTAGAATTATTGTAATTGCCTAATATAAAGTGTAATTGTTGCATTCAGATTACATACTATGAACTGACAAAAGGTTTTTGTTATTGGAACCCCCGTGCCTCTACCCAGTCTGCGGAAAAATTTTCATGCATGAAACCGGTCCCTGGTACAAAAAAGGTTGGGGACTGCTGCTCTAGACCTTAGTTGGTAGTGTCCTGAGATGACTTTTGTTGTGATTTGGTGCTGTACAAATTGAACAGAGCTGAATTTAGCTGTTTGACCTGTCGCACTGTCGTTAATCTGAAGTATCTTACATTCAGTAATGTTCTGTCTGTCAGCTGACATCAGTGCTTCTTGGGAGAAATGGGTTCATGAAGTAAATTAGTCTACCGTCCACTGAGAATTAGACAAGAAGACACAAACACAGCTTAGACAAATGAGGAAAAAGCAGCAGTATGCCAACATTTATGATCAGTTCAGATCACTGAACAGGAAGTGCTGGGATGTGGTGTTAAAGTCACCGTCAGTCAGATAGCTGTGTCATGCTATAAACAGGAATCAGTCAGTTCCAAGACGAATGTGAGCAGTCGGCCATCTGAATCTTCCTTTAGATGTCGGTCTGAACGATCTTTTATTTTGAAAAATGACCGCATTCTCTCGGTTACATCTCGGTCACTTGAGCGCCAAAACTGGCTTACTTGTGGACATATTCAGCCTGCTCAATGAACTCAGTCTGTCACTTCAGGGGAAAATGACAACTGTCTTCAAGTTGGCAGATAAAGTAGTTGCATTTAAAGCCAAACTGGATTTGTGGGGACGGCGCGTCAACAGCGGCATTTTGGACATGTTTCAAACATTAGCGGGGATTTTGGGTGAGACTGAGCCTGAGCCTTCATTCTCCCAGCTGGTGCACGATCACCTGTCTTTGCTTTTAAAAGAGTTCGAGCGCTACTTCCCAACCACAAAGGACCCACGAACTGCCAAGGAATGGATCCGCAACCCATTTGTCAACAAACCAGGTGAATCCAGCAGGTCTGTGCAAGAAGAAGATCAACTGCTGGAGATCGCAAATGACGGCGGCCTTAAAAGTATGTTCGAGACAACAACTCTGTCGGTGTTCTGGATTAAAGTCATGACAGAATACCCTGAGATCGCCACCACAGCACTGAAACGAGTGCTGGGGCTCAGGGCTCCCATTGATTTAGCGTTATGGGGAGTTAAAAATGTCAACACAGTGGATTCACGTTTATTATTATATTAACAATATACGTACCCCCCCCCGGGCCGCGGTAAAATTGTCAAGCGTTGACCGGTCCGCAGTGATAAAAAGGTTGGGGACCACTGGACTAAACAAATGTCACTGCGCTTGTGTTCTTTAACTGTACATGACAAAGATGAAGAGCTGTAACCATACTGACTGTACCATACCAGAGATGGAGACAGCTTTAACGTCCATTTTTCATTTGTGCTAGAAAATTGGATTTAAAATTAAATGACTTAGTCCAGAACCAGGACTTGGAACAGCCAGAAATATCCTGGCTGAGGACAAGAGTCTGCACTAGGTGCTAAACCATGAAGTGCTTTAAAAGTGACCAGTAGAATATTAAATATTACGAATCGCGTGTTACATATCAGTTGAAATGAAAGAAATAACCCTGTTGTAAATAAATAAGGCCATCAACAAAATGTGAGGTGGATGAGCGCTCAGCCGCAGTGTACCGCCACCATTACACCGTCATAAACACATAAATGCTGCATGAGCCACAGTTGTCCATTACAGCCATGCATCAGTGAGGCCTCCAAATGCATGTCTGACAAGTAAAAGGAAACTCCAGAATAACTGAGTTGAAATACAAATGCAGGGGTCACCGATTAATCAGCTGATTATTGTCTTGATGATCTGACTGATCTTTTTATCACCAGAATGTCAAACACTGGGAAAAGGTCCCACTGTGACTCTCCACAGTCCAAGGTGCTGTCTTCACGTTGCTGGTTGTGTCCAACCAACAGACCCACAGGGACTCACAGGGTGGCCACAGGTCCTTAAAAAGTCTATTTTATTAATAAAAGGCCTTAAATTCAGATTGGATGGGTCTTCTGTTTTAGTCACTTCAATGTGAGAATTTCTCTAGTCTGCCAGACCAAAGCAGACCCAAGAAAAATTTTTATTTTTAAGAACTGTTAATAATTGGATTTAGGACAGCAGTGATATCTTGTGTCTTCACATTTGGATAATGTCCTTTTTGCTCTTTTTTTTTCCTCTTTCAGAGAAGGCCGCCGTTCTTTTGACAATTTTTGTCATTTTACTTACTGTTCATTTTGAACTGAGATCAATATGTTTACCTGGAAAGAGTTTTTTTCGGTATTTCCATTACAAGTTTGGTCTTGAATTTTATTTAAAGTGGTATTAAAAGGTCTTATATTTAACTTGTGTATAGCCGTAGACACGCTGATTCAGTTCATTCTCATGTCTGACAAAGAAAAGCATCAGTTCTTCACATTAAAGAAGGTGGAACCAGAACATCTCAGTGACTGTTGCTTCTAAATAGCTGCCAGTTAATTTTCTACCAGTGAACTGACTCATGGTTGCAGCTGGCTTCATGAGAACATGGGTCGGACGCAGTGAGGGATCTGGTCTGGAAGGAGGAGGTTTCCTCCTCCGACATAGGAGACCTGACCTGCTCTGGACACACGGCCCTGCTGTGCGCTGGGTGATAAACTGTTTAGACAAAGACATAATTTTTGTAATCTTATGTCTGTACACCACCTCAGTGGGTTAGACATGAAGCAGTCAAGATGTTATTGAAATGTAGACTTTCAGCTTTATTTCAAGGTGTTTCACAAAAATATCCCATGAAATGTTTATGAAATTACAGCTGTTTTATACGTAGTCCCCCACTTTCAGAGGCTTGGACAAAACATTGAGACATTTGACTTGTTGGAGAGCTCTTCCTTCTTTTACCTACTGTCGAATTACTCGTTTCTGTCACAGTAAACTGAAAGTCCTAGGACATGACCAGACCCTGTGGGTAACTACAACAGGCGTTTGTCCCTGTTTTCTCACTTGGCGCGGATAAAACAAAAACGTAATATTCAAGAAAATTATCTGAAGTTTTCATGCACTTGAAATACTGAACTCTGAAATAAAGGGTATGTCGAGACTAAGCGGTATAGAAAATGAGATGAGTTAAAGCGTATGCTCTAGACCCTTGTTGTGAAAGTGCGAGCGGAAATGCAGTGCCCTCACATGTGTCCGTTAACACAGGTTCAATCAGGAAACAACAAACAGCTCAAACCCGCCGGTGATCCGCGGCTCTCTCCGCGACCGCCGAGCTCCAGAGAGCGGTTGCAACCGTAGCAGAAACGTGCTGAGAGAAGCCGGAGGGCTGGGCAGAGAGAACCGAGCGGAGCCGGCGCCGATACCGGGACTTTAGACAAAAACTTACCGTGTGTAGTGATCTCCGCCTTGTTCTACTGACAGCTCCACAACACGGAAATGCTGCGACAGCGAGGGCACTGCGCATGCGCCTCATGTGACTCAAGAGCAGCATGCGCATAATAAGATATAAAAATGTTTGAAATAAAGTTTGATGAGGTTGCGTGGAGCCTCAAACTATTCAAAATTCCGTTGGACGTAAGAAATTTAACGTGTGTTTTTGTGACCCTAGTTAAAAGCAAAGTTATACATATATTTTTATATTTGTGCTTTTTCACTGCATTTGCATACAACTTAAGCGAGGAAAATAACATTATGAAAAAACCAAGTCTTTCCATAATACAATAAATTTACAAGTAACCTACATATACTCAGTTTCTTCGTTTAAGTAAAACTTAAGTATTTGTACTTTATGAGTTTACCTATTTTCTGTCCATTGGCTTTATCCTTCTACTCCACTACATGTCAAGGTGTTATTTACTGCCTTAACAATGAATGAATGAGTGGTCATTAAGATAATTATTATTATAATTAAGTGCTCTAAAATGTGTCACTAATAATGTAGTGCAGTTAGTTGATCCAGGTTCTGAGCTACTGTGGGAGAAAACTGTCAGTGTTTGGGTCCAAGATCTTGTGATGAGTCTGGGTCTTGTGGGAGGTCCCTGTTAATGAATTGGAAACATTTCAAAGCACTGGTTTAACTAGTACTGAACACGGATAGAGTTTACTAAACTAAAATATCTCCTGTGTTCTTGGTCAGTGCGGTAAGCTAATAGTTTTGCCCTGGTCTCAGTTGTGCTAAGGTAAAATAACAGTTTTCCTGTGCTCTTAGCTTTTATACTAAGCTAAGATCAAATCAAATCAAATCAAATTTTATTTGTATAGCGCCAAATCACAACAAAAGTCATCTCAGGACACTTTACAAAGTAAGGTCTAGACCTTACTGTTATCAATATTATTACATAGGGAAAACCCAACAAATCCCCCTTGAGCAAGCACTTGGCGACAGTGGGGAGGAAAAACTCCCTTTAACGGAAGAAACCTCCGACAGACCCCGGCTCTTGGTGGGCGGCCTTCTGCCTCGACCGGTTGGGGTGAGTGGATAGAGGAGAGACAAAAGAAGAAAAGCAACAAGACACAACAATCAAACACTGATCAGGTCGATGTGGCTGGTGACTGCTCGTCAGAGATGTAGAGCTCCAGGGCCAGGGCAATCTGCAGAAAGGTACAGGGAGAGAGAGAGGACACACTACGAGAGAGAGGAGACACAAAGTTAGTAATGTGTAATGGTGGCATATAGAAGCATAGGGAGTGGAGTGGAGTGGAGTGGA